CCTCCTCCTCCTCCTCCCTCCTCCCCCTCCCCCTCCTCCTCCGCCTTTTACTCCACGCCGGCCTCCCGCTGGCGGACCGCCGCCCTCGCTCTGTCTCTGCTGGCCTCCGCCGCACCTTCCGCCGACGAAGAGGGGCGGCTTCTCAGCCGGGGCCCGCGGCCCGCGTGTCGGCGGCGAGCGAGGGTGGGGAAGTGAGAAGGAGAAGAGCTTCTCTGGCGGCGGGGCTTCTCAGAAGCCCTCGCGCCCTCCGAGCAGCACTTCGTGCCTTCGGGGGAGGCTCGGGAATCTTCTCGGGAGGCCCGAGGCCTTCTGAGCCCTCTGAGAAGGCCTGCCCCTTCTCACTTCCCCCGGGGGGCTCGCCGCCGAGAGTTGATCGGGTCGCAGGATCAACCCGCATCGCCGACGGTACATCAGCGACGCTGGCGTGGAGAGAATGGGGCTCCACATCGAGCCGCATCGACGATGCATCGGAGATGCGGCGCGAGCCTCCGACCCCATCTAGGAGGCCCAGGGTCAACTCCTCCGATCCTCGAATGCGAGGCCCTTCTGGAGCGCAGTGGCTGGCACCGGCAACGTGCGAGCAACATGGGTCGGAATCAATGGGGGGGCGATCGATGGGGGAGGGGGGGGAGAAAGGTGCCCTTTTCGGGCCCCAAAGGCCCTCTTCTGGGGCCCCCAGGGCATCCCCTCGGGGGCCCGAAAGGGCTCCTTCTCTGCGGCCCTCGCTGCTCCCCCGACTTATCTATCGCCGCCTGAGCACCTGGCCGGGCGCGGAATCTGGGGCGCCGCGGCCGAGGGTCGGTCAAGCGCGGAGAGATCGGCGGCCATGCGCGCCGCCTCGGCCGGCACGGTGTCTGGGGGAGGGCGGAGGAGGACAGACGAGACGGAGCAGCAGGAGGAGCTCAGACCTCCTCGCGTCGTGACAAACATGGCGGTCAACATTTATTTATTTACACACGTGTATAAGTGTGTGTATAATGTATATATATATATGTATATATCTATGCGTATGTATGTATGTATGTATGTATGTATGTATGTATGTATGTATGTATGTATGTATGTATGCATGCATGCATGTATGCATGTATGCATGTATGCATGTATGCATGTATGCATGTATGCATGTATGTATGTATGTATGTATGTATGCATGCATGCATGCATGCATGCATGTATGTATGTATATATGTATATAGTTATGTATGTATGTATGTCTGTCTGCCTGCCTGCCTGCCTGCCTGCCTGCCTGTCTGTCTGCCTGTCTGTCTGTCTGTCTGTCTGTCTGTCTGTCTGTCTGTCTGTATGTATGTATGTATGTATGTATGTATGCAGCGTCGCACATTTGCTCAGAGGTTCGGCGGGGCCGCGACGCCAAGTTGATTCGGCACCATCGGGCTGCGCCATGTCGTCGCCATCGCCTCCTTGCGCTTGCGCGAGGTCCATGGCACGCTGAGGCTGGTTCCCCGAACGGGGACGCGCTGATGCGAGTGGTCAGCTACAACCCGCTCACATTGTGCAGACGCCTCCGCGCCGAGGAGATCAGCCAGGAGCTTGAGCGCTACGACGTGGTGGCGCTGCAGGGCACGCAGCTGAAGTGGAGCGGGGGTGGGGATGTCTCGAAGCAGACCCTGCCGAATCATGATGCGCTGCACTGGGGATGGGGTCGAGGCGTGCACACTAACAAGGCGTGCGGTGTCTCGATTCTCTTCAAGAAGGGGTTCAAGGTGCTGAAGCTGCTGGCGCCGCCACCGGCCTTGAGGGGGCGCGGCGGCGGTGCGCGCCTGAGGAGGGGTGCACTGGACATACTGGTGCTGGCTCTGTACTTCCCCGTGCGGGGGCTGGCGGTCCAGCGGGCGGCGGCGGACGCGCTCTTCACGTGGACGCAGCGCTGCCTCATGGATACCCCCACTCGCTGCACGCCACTGCTGTGTGCCGACCTCAACGACGGGCTGGGCATGGTCAAGTACGAGGCGGGGGTCTTTTCGCCCTTGTCGGAGGCCATCGGGGGGGTCGAGCCTGCGCTGGAGCACGAGTCTGGGACTGCGTGGAGACGTCTCTGCGAGGACTGGGGGCTCGCCACGGTCAACACCTTCTATGAGGGCTACACGTTCTCGGGCCCCACGGGGGCCAGATCTAGGCCAGATGTGATCGCGCTGCCCCGCGAGCTCATGTCGAGCGTGGACGGCTGCAAACCTCTCGACGCGATCGGCGACAGGTTGCAGGCAATTCGTGCGAGAGGCAGGAGGGATCACACTCCATTGGGAGTGTCGGTGATCATCACGCCTGTGCACCCCGAGATCCTGCCCAGGAGCGTGAGGGCGCAGTGGGATATGGACGCTTGCATGCAGGCCCTGAAGCATCACCAGGGGAAGGTGGAGTTCTTGAGGGAGCTGGAGCGCCAGTGCGAGGGCATGGTCCGCCCGCACTTGGAGGAGGAGCTGGGCCCCGACGAGGCGTGGGAGGAGCTGGTGGAGGTGGTGCGCGAGGCGGGCCTGGCGCACTTCGGCATCAGGGCGCGCGACACGAGGGAGATCGAGGAGGCGACGGCCCAGCGCAAGAAGCTACTGCAGGAGCGGGCCGCCATTCGCCGTCGGCACGTCGTTGAGGGCGAGGCGGCGGCTTCGACGGACGACGAGGTGGAGAGGTGCGTGCGCGAGCTCAGGGACGCCACGCGCCGCCTGCATGCGCTGCAGCGGCAGCAGCGCAGGCGGCTTCGCGCGGTGCGCTGCGAGGCGCTGGCGGAGGCCGAGCGGGTGGGCGACGCGGCCTCGGTCTGGAGGCTGGCCCACCTGCTGGGCGAGCGGGGGATGGGCACGCGCCGTCGGGTGTACTGCACCCCACGACTGGAGCGCACGGCGGCTGCGCGGCGCATGCTACTCAAGGGTCCTGGGCGGCTGGGGGGCTACGCGGCAACGGAGCTGGACACGAGGCCGTACCTGGAGCAGTTGAGGCCCCCGCTGGCCAGGTGCTGCTCGGCGCTGGCGGCCGAGGAGGCGGTGAAGCAAGACCTGAAGGAGCTGGAGCAGCGCCTACGGAAGAGGATGCAGCCCAGGCGGGCGGCGCCGCCCTGGTCGGCGCCTGTGCCTGTTTGGAGGATGTGTCTGGAGCCGCTGACGGCGGCGGCGCTGGGCGGGGGCATCGGCTACAGGTCGGAGCCTCCGAGCATGAAGGCGTTCAGGGAGCGGATGCTGCACTGCTTGGCTCTTGTTCGCGTGTTCCAGGCGGCTCCCCTCGCGTGGTCCAGGTCCAGGGCTGCGGACATCGGCAGGATCATCCATGTGATGTGCCCCATCGGCAAGTGCTACACCTCGGTGCTGGCGGCGAGGGCCCAGAAGGGGAAGGCGGCGCCGAACGACTTCGGCTTTGTCTCTAGGCGCTCTAGGGACGGGGCGTTGGTGGTTGCTGCGGTGGTGGCAGAGCGGGCTGCGCACTTCGGCCTCACGGCGCTCACGAGCTTCAAGGACCTGAGCAAGGCGTTCCAGTGCCCGTCCGTGCGTGACATGCTGCGGGGGCTGGAGGGCATGGTGCGCGAAGAGGACCACCCCATCGTGTCTCGCAGGGTCCTCGACTACCACTGCGAGGTGGAGACGGCCGAGGGAGTGCTGCGCATGAAGACCAACCAGGGCGTGCTCATCGGTGACTCGCTGGGCCCCCCGCTCTTCCTTGAGGTCTTCACGCCGGTGGCGACGGAATGGGCCATCGAGGACTCGGGTCGCCCCGACGCGCAGCTGCTGGAGGCGAAGTCCGTCGTCACGGGCACCGTGCTGGACCTCAGCCTCACGAAGTTCGCGGACGACCTTTGCAAGCGCTTCGTTTCGTGGTGCCACGACACTGTTATCAAGAACCACAAGGCCTCCGACGAGCTGCTGGACAGGCTGTTGGAGCCGCGAGGTTTTCAACAGAACATCTCCAAGCAGTACACCATGTGTGCCTTCCGTGGCGTGGGGGCCAGGGCCTGGACGAGGTCCTTCTTCGCGGGCAGGCTCGGCATGCGGGGCAACTGCTCGACGGTCGCCCGCTACCTCGGCCCGTTGCTGCACTTCCAGGGCGGCCTGGCGGCGGAGGCCAGGGCTCGGGTGGCGGCGGCCACGCGGGGCTTCGCGGACATGGGGCCGTTCTGGAAGTCCGAGGTCTCCGTCGATGTGGTGCGCCAGGTCTTCCGCTCTAAGGTGCTGGGGGCCATCCTCTCGGGGACGGCTGCGGTTGTGCCCACGCAGTCTTTCCTGACGTCCCTGGGGGGGCCGCTCTGCGCCTGGGCCGCTCGGCTTTGGGTGCGAGGGTGTCGAGGGGCGTCCTGGCGGAGGAGGGCTACCAGCACAGGGCCATGCCCGCCCAGGTCGTGCGTCAGCTGCTGCAGATGGCGGACATCGAGACCGAGTTGCGCGTGGTGAGGCTCGGGTTCATGAAGTGCATGGTGCGGCATCCAGAGGATCACGAGATGGAGCTCACGGCGCTGTTTGGACAGCTGCCCTTCGTGTTGCAGCCTGTGTTGGGCGAGGGCGGCCGTCTGGGCGAGGGAGCATCGGCGCTCGCGAGGCCGCTGGTGGACGACATGAAGCTGCTCATGGTCGCGTCGGAGCGCGTGGACTTGCTGGAGGTGTGGGGCGGACGCCCCCTCCTGCTGCTGGAAGGAACCCTGCGAGAGGAAGTCCTTCAGCTGGATCCGCGAGTGCTTCGAGTTCGCGGCTGGGCGGCCCAGTGCCCACCGTCGCGGGAGGTGCCTGCGGCGGTACGGCATCGCTGGTGGACCCTACATGGCGACCACTTTCGGCCCGCACGTGAACCGCCTGGCCTCATCGACATCGGGGACTTTGAGTTCGTGTGCCAGGAGCCCTGCGCGGGGGGCCTGTGCGGGGCCGCCTTCTGCTCGGAGCGTGCTCTGCTGTGGCACAAAATCAGCTCCCACAAGTATCGGGCGGTGGAGTCCTCTTTGTGTGTGTCGAGCCAGTGCGGGTTCTGCGGGACGGTTCTTGCGTCTCGGGCTTCGGCTGTTCAGCATGTCAGATTTGCTCTGGCTCGAGGACATTGTCGGGGAGGACTTGCATTTGCGGCGCCGAAGTTGTTTGCCCCAGATGACATTCGTTGTCCCGTGTGTGGCGAACTGTCACCGACGCTGGAGCACCACTACAGCCATTTCCTCTCTGTGCATTTCGCTGGACGGAGACCAGTTTTGCTGCCACCGCGGCCTCCGAAGCCTCGCTGTCATGTGGCAGGCGCCTGGCTGCGCTCTGGCGGGTGCACCGGCCGTGGGCGAGGGCGGGGCTCCTCCAGGCGGCCGTCGTGTGCGCCGTCGCCCCGCGGGAAGCGGTCCACGTCGAGAGGGAGAGGAGGTCCAGGACGTGGCGGCCCCCCTGCCGTGCGGCAGGGCCAGGGCCGCCGCGGGGCCTCGCGCCCGCCGCCTGCGGGGCGTGGGCGTGGAGGCGGTGACCGCGATGGCGTGCCTGGTGCTCTCGCGCGACCTCCTGTACCGCGGCCTCGTGACGGCCTGCATCACGTTCAAGGTGCCGCTCTACCGCGACGGAATCAAGAACGCGAAGGACGGGGGCAAGACCTACGGCTGCTTGGGCCGCGGCATGAGCCCCTCGCTGTGCGGCATGGGGCCGCCGCCGCCCTGCCTCGTGGAGGCGGCGTTGCGCTCTCGCGCCAGCCTGGCGGACGTGAAGGGAGCCGACCGCGAGGGGCCAGTGAAGGCGCTCCAGGACCAGGGCGGCGACCAGGGCTTCAAGTACTTCAAGGTCAAGGACGAGTACGGCCAAACGCACATTCGAGGATGCAGGGCGATGGGGGCGGCCGAGGTCGCGACCACGTTCCAGAAGGCCATGATCAGGATCGGCGGAGAGGGGCTGCGGGGCACCGCGCCACCAGACGGGCTCCATCGGAGCCATCAGGTGCGGTCGGGCCAGCGCTGATGGACGTGATCCTCAGGCTGGTGGACGGGCGCGGCGGGCGGGCCTCTGCGAGGCGGTCCGTGCCCGCGCCTGCCGAGGCGCGCCGACGGGGCGCCTCGCCCCCGCCCGCCCTTTGGCTGGGGCGCCCGCTCGGCCTCGGGGCTGGGGCGGCGGCGGAGGGCGAGGCTGCGCGGGGCGCGCGCGCCGCCTCCTCGCGCGAGCGTGCCGCCAAGAGCTGAGCGGGGGCTTGGGCCGCTCTCTTCCTTTCTCCTGGGGGCCTGGGCCGTCCTGGGTTCCTGGGTCCTCCTGGCCCTGGCCTCCTGGTCCTGGGGCCTTCTCTCCTCTCGGCGGGGGGCTCCCCCATGAGACAGCTGCGCCTTGCACTGGCGCCCAGGCTGTGCTAATAATGTATGCATGCATGTATGTATGTATGTATGTATGTATGTAGGTAGGTAGGTAGGTAGGTAGGTAGGTAGGTATGTATGTATGTATGTATGTACACATACATATGCAGTCGGACCTAGGCCAGAATTATCCCAGTGCGACCCTACCTAGGAGTTGGAACATTTAGAATAGCAACAACTACATCTACATCTAGGCTAGGCTATGTTATGCTATGCTATGCTGCGCTATGTTATGCTATGAAATGCCATGCTATGCTATGCTGCGCTATGCTATGCTATACCATGCTATGCTATGCTATGCTATGCTATGCTGCGCTATGCTATGTTATGCTAGGGTATGATATATTATGCTATGCTGCGCTATGCTATTATATGCTGCGCTATGCTATGATATGCTATTCTGTGCTATGCTATGCTATGCTGCGCTGTGCTATGCTAAGCAATGCTGTGCTATGCTAATATGAGATAAGCTAAGCTAAGCTAAGCTAATATGATACCATCTAAGCTAAGCTAAGCTAAACTAGGCTAGGCAAAGCTAAGCTAAGCTAAGATGAGATAAGCTAAGCTAAGCCAGGCTAGGCAAAGCTAAGCAAAGCTAAGCTAAGCTAAGCTAAGCTGGGTGAACCCAGGGGGCACAACTGGGGGAACCGCGGGGCGGATGCTGAGAGAACCGCCCGGGGCGTGTTACACTGCCCGGCCCTTTAAGCATACCGAGTAAAAACCCTTCTAGGCAGAGCCTAGGTACGGAAACACATCCTTCAAGCACATGAGACCCTCCGCCAGCCAACACGCACAGAACATCCAAGGGTACCCTCCCGAGGGTGCACAAGGACATCCCACAAACCCGAAAAAAATTAGGGCACCCTCCCCGAACCGACCTCGATCTTATACCTCGGCCCGGCCGTACACATTCTCATGCGCACCTCTCCGAGGGAGTAGAGTTCAGAGGCGTTAATTCCCGTCCCGTTCGAGATTTCCATGGCCGTTTCGCCGAGGACATCCTGAACATGCTGAAACGCGGTGGCACCCCTCACGCAGATCGCAACGTCAGGAAAAAAGCAAAGCTTTCTCAATTATTTTAACATACTGCCTTCAAAGACACGGTGGAATTCATTTATTTGGAGCCCGACTCTTAAAACTTACACTTTCGCACGACATGCCACCCAAGGCTCAAGCTCGTATCTTTCAACGCGAATCTTAGAAAATGGCAGTTTCGCCTGAGACATCCTTCCCAAACTGAGCCCCGACATACAATACACATAAGACATACATAACGCACACCACACATAATCCACACACGCAACACACGCAGCACGCACACAACACCTACAACACATAGACCACTCACACGCACACACGCACACGCAGCACACACATCATATACAACACATCCAACACAAGCAACGCACACAACGCTCACACACACAACACACCTAGCACACATAACACGCAGAACACACATTATCCACACATACCTCATACATCGCACACCACACTCACACAACACACAGCATACATAGCACAACATGTACACACGACACACGCACACCCTGCACGTGTTTGTATGGGTCTGGGGCGCACGTGCCAGTTGTAGACGTACATATACACATATTTGTACATATCTATGTATATGTGTTTATCTATGCTCGGCCTATGGTGGCCCTTACCAGGCCTCGGTACGCCAGTGCCGCTTCATTTGGCGACGGAGCGCTTCGACGTTGTATGGAAGCAGGACTCGTCACTAATCCACGCGCCTTAATCCCTGTTGTATCCCTGATAGTCCGGGGTAACTCCGGTTTGGGCCCCCGAGGCGCGAATCTGTAGCTACCCCTGACTGCTCCCAACCCTGATGATTCGGGAGGGTTGGACGCCCGAGCTATCCGGGACAACTGCGGTCTGGGGTAGCTCTGGTTTGGGCCCCCGGAGGCGCGAATCTGTAGCTATCCCTGACCGCCCCCAGCCCTGATGGCTTGGGGCTCTGAGGAAGAAGGGATTGGCGGCACGCAGAGGGGGGTAGGGGGAGGGGGGAACACTTCTTAGAACGAGGCTGCTTCTTAGAGGGCGCCTGCCTTACATCTGTAGATGAGGCCCGCGCCTTCTGAAGCAGAGGTGCTTCCAAGAAGCCCCCCCCTTCCCCTACCCCCCTTCTGCGCGAGGCCTACAGGAAGTAGCGGGTACGCGCGAAAACATCGAACCTCGATCCCCCCCTCCTCCTCGTCCTCCTACTCCTCCTCCTCCTCCTCCTGCTCCTCCTCCTCCTCCTTGTCCTCCTCCTCCTCCTCCTCCTCCTCCTTGTCCTCCTCCTCCTCCTCCTTGTCCTTCTCCTCCTCCTCCTCCTCCTCCTTGTCCTCGTCCTCCTCCTCCTCCTCCTCCTCCTCCTTGTCCTCCTCCTCCTCCTTTGTCCTTGTCCTCCTCCTCCTCCTTCTCTCCTCCTCCTCCTCCTCCTCCTCCTCCATCCCTCCTCCAAATAATGATAAATGAATTTCTCCCTGTCGCTCCCCTGCCCCCCTCTGCGCGCGTGGTTGCAGGGAACCGCTTCTTCTGGGCCCGCAGGGCGCTGCTGGCCGGCAGGGCCCGCAAGGCGCCACCGGGCGCCGCGCAGCGTCAGCTCCCCACGCGGGGCGGACCCACCCCGCGCGGCTCAGTCCAGGTCCAGGCAGGCTGGGGCCCCGCGGTTGCCGCCTGCGGCCGCGGCAGTTCTCCTCCTCCTCCTCCTGCTGCTGCTCCTCCTCCTCCTCCCCCTCCCCTCCTCCTCCTCTTCCTCTCCCTCTTCCTCCTCTCCTCCTCCCTCCTTCCTCCTCCTCCTCCTCCTCTCCTCCTCCTCCTCCTCTCCTCCTCTCCCCTTCTCGTCCCTCCTCCTCCTCCTCTCTCCTCCTCCTCCTCCTCCTCCTTCCTCCTCCTCCTCCTCCTCCTCCTCCTCCTCTCCTCCTCGTCCTCCTCCTCCTCCTCCCTTGCAATCTCTCCCTCCCCACCCCCGCGCCCGCGCGGACCTCTCCGGGGGTGCGTTCTGACCAGGACTTCGAGGAGAATCCAGCGGTGGCGAGGATGGCCCCCTGGAGGGCCTCAACAAAGGGGGAAACGAGGGAAGGGTAGCCGTATCGGTACCTTTCCCTCCTCTGAATCCCGAGGACCCTGGTCCCGCCCACCTACGCTCGGCTGTACGCAACAGTGACCCTGCAGTGTAGTCGTGCTGCCAGAAAGGAACGCTGGATATGGAACGGAGGGCCTCTTATCATATACACGCCGAGTCTCGGCCACGAGGTCCCAGAACTCCGCCCCAGAGGCACCCGAGAGCCTTCCGAAGAGACCCCAAGAAGCACCCCCGAGGACTCTGGCCCACGTCAGCGTCGTCGTCGTCTTCGCCGCCGCCGCTGTCGTCGTCGTCGTCGTCGGCCCCCTTCTCTCTGCCGAAAGGCCTCTGCAATAGGGTTCCCGACCCAGATCGATCGGGGGCGGCCAAGAGGAGGGTGTCCAAGAGGGGAGGGGGTGCAAATCATGACCGGCGGCATGTGCGCGGCCCAGGGGGGGGGGGGCAGGGACGTAGTGAAACAAGAAGAGGCGCCATGAAATCTGGGGCGATACCACGGCCCCCGCCATGATACCCACCACCCCCTGGTCATCACCCC